TATGCTACGAGGTGGTCAGGAAATGTTTTGCATAAATGAAGATCTTGCTGCTAGAACCTAGCAGGCAGATTATGACGTTAAAGCCCAACTGAAAAATAAAAAAATAAAAATAAAAATTCACCCATGCAGTGGCCCCCTCACCCTGCATCGCCAGGGTTAATTGCTTGTTCGGTCTAGGGGATTTCAGAATCGGCTGTTTAGCCTCCCTGGAGGTATTTGCGAGTGTAGCTCGGGGTAAAGTTTCAGTATGAAAAGCAGTAAACCCGAGCTACACTCGGGAATACCATGCAGCACTGCTCCGGAATTTGTTCTTCTCTTACCTTGTCCTGCGCTACCGCGATGTCCCTCCTGCAATGTCCCCTGTAATGTCCTCCAGCGGATCCTGGCATCTGTCATCTGTGTTCCGTCCACTGCGAGCGTCAGGACGTACGGGGATGGAATGGCGAGAAATTTAAAAATGACAAAAAGTGACATTCACTAAATATACTAAAATCACATAGTAAAACATTCCTGTATCAACCCATTTCACATACATTTTGTCCCGAGTGCTTTGTCCTGCGCCCTGCCTGCATTTCTTACTGTTCTTTCTACCTGGAAACTGAGAAACGTCCATGGCGTCCAAAAAGTGTTCATTTAGACCAGCTAGAGAACAGCGATTGTAAATTAGAACTACTTGCAGAATTGAGTGATTTGTGTGGAAATTCGTCATCAGACACTGAAAACGATTTTTGCGACTTTGCTCAGTGATGTGCGAACTTGGCACTCTATTTCAAATTTCAGTGTTTTTGGTTTGATTATATTGAATTATATTGTTATTAAATTATTTTTTATGATTATTAAATTATAATTTATGATTTTGTGTTTCAAATTTTAACATACCTGTAATGTTTACTAGACTCTTGTTCGGACAGATTTCAGTGAATTATTCCTAAAAATTACAGGCCTACAATAAAAAAACAAACTACATATTTCCATGCAAAAAAAAATGTACCGCTTTGAGCACAGAAATATGGACATAATCAGACCGCTAGGGAGGTTAACTTGCCTTTATATCCACTCTGGTTAACTCTTGACACTTTTCTCCTCCCCCGAAGCTCCTGTCTGTGGGCTGAGCCTCAGTGTCATCACCTACAATACAGGGAGATTAACCCTGTATTGTACAATTCAGGGCTTATATGGGGCTGGAGGAACCCTGCTGAAGCGAGAAGTAAGGCCTCTTGGGTGGTGCAGTCTGATCGCACAGCAGGTGTAGTGCAGTGTACCTGTGGGTTAGCTGTGCTCTTCCATAGAGTCCCACGGAAAGCATACCAAAACCGTGGGACATAAAGCATGACTAACCTGCAGGTACAGAGCACTACACCCACTGTGCGGTCAAACTGCATCATATCGGTGTTAACGAGGCCCAAGGTATTTCTTTAGTCCTCTGCCCCTAGACATAGCGTGCAATTAAACCCGATGCAGGAGTGGGGTTGTGGGGAGATAGGTACCCGCTGCAAAGGTGTGTTTTTTTTTTTTTTTTTTTTTTGTTTTTTTTTTGGCTAACAAAGTGCAATTTATTCGCTAGTCTATGTAGACGTGTGTGCCAATGAAGGGGTTAAAAGCATTCTAAATTATGCTCTGCAGGAAACCTAGTATAATTTCCCAGCTGTTAAGATGGGGAAAGTACAATGTTTTAGTGAGTGTATTTGTTTCTGGAGTCTTTTACTTGCAAGTCCTTTTTGTTGTAATTTTCACCTTAAGGGTCTGTTGCATCTTTCTGGAAACACACATTTATGTGCGCTTAACACATTGCAGTGCCACTCATTTTGAATAGCACCCCAATGCACTAAGGCAGCACTCCTCTGATTTTTGGGATGTTTTGATATTTGAAAGCCTATTGCATAACATGCATGTATTGGTGCACACTGGACAAATGTAAATGGTCCCTTTTTTTAACCACTTGCCCTCCAGAGGATCTACCCCCCTTAATACCAGGCCTCTTTTTGCTACTCTGCGCTGCACTATTTCAACTGATAATTGCGCGGTCATGCAATGCTGCACCCAAACGAAATTTACATCCTTTTTTCACACAAATAGAGCTTTCTTTTGGTGGTATTTGATTACCTGTGCGCTTTTTATTTTTCACGCTATAAACAAAAAGACCAAAAATTTTGAAGAAAAACTATTTTTTTTTACTTTCAGCTATAAAAAATATATAGTAAACTCAAAGTTAGTTGTAAATTTAGGCCAAAATGTATTCTGCTCCATGTTTTTGGTAAAGAAAAATCCCAATAAGTGTATATTGATTGCTTTGTGTGAAAGTTATAGCGTCTACAAACTATGGTATAGATACTGCAATTTACGCCATATTTTTTTTTGTTTGCTATACAGCGGTGCACTAGTTTAACGGACAATTGCGCGGTCATGCAATACGGTACATAAATGAAATTTACATCCTTCCCCCCCCCCCCCCCCCCCCCCCCCCCCCCCCCCCCCCCCCCCCCCCCCCCCCCCCCCCCCCCCCCCCCCCCCCCCTCCCCACAAATTGAGCTTTCTTTCGGTGGTATTTGATCGCCTATGCGTTTTTTTTTTTTTTTGTTTTTTTTTTTTTTTTTTGTTTTTTTTTGCGCTATATAAAAAAAAAAAAAAACTGACAATTTTGAGGGAGAAAAACCATATTTTGGACTTTTTGCTATAAAACATCTCCAGTGAAAAAGAAATTTAAAAATCAAATTTAGTCATACATTTATGCCAAAATGTATTCTGCGACATGTCTTTGCTACAGAAAAACCCCAATACGTGTAAATTGGTTTACGTGAAAGTTATAGCGTTTACAAATGGTGGGAAAGATGCTGGGATTTTTAATTTTTTTTTTTTTTTTTTTATACTAATAATGGCGGCGATCAGCAACTTATGGCGGGACTGCGGTGGACATTCTGACACTGGGGGGGGGGGGGGGGGGGGGGGGGGGGGGGGGGGGGGGGGGGGACTGACTTGGGGTCCCTGACATCCCCAGTGACACCAATACAGTGAGCAAAAAAAAAAAAAACACACTGACACTGTACTAATGGCACTGGGGTGGAAGGGGTTAACTTTATTATTCAGTGAAAGGGTTAACTGTGTGAGGGGAGTGTTTTTACTAGGGGGGGCAGGGGTGTGTGTACTGCACGGAGACACACTGATCCGGACAGAAACTCTTCTGTCCCGATCAGCATGTCAGCGTCAGCGAACTGACAGAAAGCACAGCTACTGCAGCTGTGCTCTCTGTCAGTGATTGCCGCTAATCGCCGTGACACAGCCGGTAACGACCAGCTGTGACCCGGCGACTGACATCCGCGGCCGTGATCGGCGGGACAGGTAGGGCGGCGGCGCGCCTCCCTACCTGTTTTGAGAAAACATGTTTTAAAACGTGGTTTTGCCCAGCCGTGCCACCCTGCCGCCGTATTTCCACAGTGGCTGGGCAGCATGTAGTTAAAGTGTGTGTTTTTTTTTTTTTTTTTTTGTGGTGTGTTTTTTTTTTTTTTTTTTTTTTTTTTTTTTTTTTTTTTTTTTTTTTTTTCTTTACTTTTTTTGGATATAATCAGGAAGGGTAAACCCCAGGGTGGATTTGATTTAAATCACTAGTGAGAGAGCTCGATTTTTAAATCATAATTTTTAAAGTTTGACTGTTATCTCTGACCCGCTGTTGACTCACCGACAGTCCCATTCACTTTAATGGGATGGCTAGTGATGTGGCAGTGACACAACAAGGTGAGGGATGTGGTGGCAGCAGGTGAGTGGGTGCCCGCTAACAGGCGCTACCATGATGGATCTAAAATGACAGGTGCTCTTTAAAAGTAAGGAATCCGACTCATTCTTGCTGGTAGTTACAATCTTTAATATTTGCAAACCAAATGAAGGTTTCCTTTTTAGAATAATAAGCTATCGGGTTAGTAACACGGCGATATCAGAACCGATTTTAGGTTAATCATACATAGTTGGAGAACTACTCAAATTCTTCTATTTCATGTTGTGTGTTTTTTTTTTTTTTTTTTTTTTTTTTTTTTCTCGGTTTATTGTCAAATTGTGTGAATGCATCAATGCAGTGCATTTTATCTTGGCTTGCAGAGCTTGGATTCATTGAATGAGTTTACCAAAAATGTAAATATTGCAGAATATACAACCTCATGCTACATAACTAAGCTCCATTTCATGCTGAATAAACTAAATTATTAATGTATCTTAAATAGAAATGTATCTTTTAGATAGATTTTTTACTCCAAAAGCATTTTATTAAAATAAATTTGCTAAAAAATGAAAATTTGATTTAAATAAAAAAAATCCGATTTTTTTAAATTAAAAAAAAAGTTTTTTTTTTTTTTTTTTTTTTTTTTTTTTTTTTATCGATTTTTATTCACCCTGGTAACCCCTCCCCCCCCCCCTTTTGGGTTGGCTTTCCGCTTGTTTAATTCTTTGTCTGGATGACTTTTCACGGCAGGTAGTTCCCAGGCTTTAAAAAAACACAGGCAAAAAACAAATTGGACTAGAAGATCCTTTTTTCCTTAAGGCCTTGTGCACATTGAGTGATTGGCCCCTGTGTATGAGAACCTCGAGTTTAGTAGCAGGTGAGAAGGCACAGCAAAGCCCTGCTGCTGGTAACATGTCAAACTCTTGGGGTTTAACACGTGATGTGTGGGGTAGGGGTTTTTTGGTAAAACCCTGCAGTTGTTGAGCTGTGCTTTTATCACCCTTCCAAATGTAATATCTGTAACAAGTATATACTGTAAATGCTCAGAAAACGATTTTTCACAGCAACCTAATAGCATCTATTAAGTCTAATTGCACAGCAATGTGGTACAGCAGCAACAATAGTACAACGTGTTATTTCTAAACCAATGTTTTTGCATGTACATGTTTTTACTGCAAATGATTATAGAAGAGCATAAAGCTCTTGTAGTGTATTCACTAGATGATGCATTCTGTTAACTGCAGTCTTCTGTCCTTCAGGCTTGAATGGCTTGGGATAAAGGTCAGTGTATAGAATGACTAAGCACCCACCAAACCGAAGAGGGATCACTTTTGAAGTTGGAGCACAACTGGAAGCACGTGACAGACTGAAGAAATGGTACGCCTTGTTAGACCTGAGTGTATATGCAGCAATCTTAAAGCAGTATTAAACCCAAAAGGAAATCTTTATTATATTGCTGCTTACCAGTTCTTAGATAAGATGCCTGTTTTTGTTTGTTTTTTTTTTTTTTTTGCTTCACCAGGTGATCCTGCCAATAAAGCAGGATCAATTTTCCGATTTGACTTCTGTTTAACGACCCTGTCGGATTTTAGCTGCATGATCAGTGCTGCAGGCTATAGACTAAGTTCTGATCAGTGTATTCTGACAGTAGGGAAGTCTCTCCGCTGTCAGAATACAGTGGCACAGCAGAGAGGATTCCTTCATCCACCTTGAATTAGGTCCGTTTTTTATTAATTCAATCTTCTAGTTGAACAGGAAAAAAAAAAAACTGTCAGTCTGTGGGCAGCTTAAAGCGGCATTCCAGCTGGTAAAAAAAGTGAGCAGCTACAAAAACTAGCTGCTGACGTTTATGACTACAGGGAGGGAGGACAACTTCCGCTTCTGATCACCTAGGCAATCGCAGCAGAACTGGGAGAGTGTTACCCGTCAAATTTGGGTACCCACTCCCCAAAGGTGCTAATCCTTAATGGGAAGCGGGGACAAAGAATTCAAGCGGAACTTCCCCTTTTGGGTGGAGCTCCTCTTTAAGTCTTTTGTCTTTCAACAGAATAAGCTGTCCTGCAGATGGGGCAGTTAGAGAGTTGAGACAAACCATATGCCACTGACGGGTGCTGACAGGTTTTATTTGTTACCTTTTTAAAGCAAAAGAGAAAAAGTTTTGCTGTTACTGCTTAAAAAGGTGTAATTTGGAGTTTGGCCTAGATCTTCTAGTACATTGCTCCCCTCCCCACCACCCTTCTTGATCAACAGTGCTGCTGTCTAAAAGGGGTCTCTGTGGGAACACTCTAATACAGGATGCGTGTTTCTGATGAGATTAGTTGAAAATGGAGGAGAGAAAGCCTAAAAAACAAACCAATGCATCCACCGCATCTAATGATGAGCTGCAATATATTATGTTTTTGCTTTGGGTTTAATAGGACTTTAAGGATGTTTCCACTTTTACAGTCAAATTTCAGGACTCCCCACTAGGTGTGTATTCCCCTTCACATTGCATACCTAAAAATATATTTAAAAAAAAAAAAAATTATTCTGGTCATTTTAGTTTATGTATGGGTTACTATAGTAAGCCTTTGTTAGGAGAGACAGTGAGCACATCTACAGTATTTATTTTATTTTTAGTTATTACAGGTACTTGTATAGCACCATCAATTTATACAGCGCTTTACACGTGTGTGTGTATGTATATTATTTTTATATATATCTCTATCATCCGTCCCTAACCCTCAAGGAGTGAACTGTCTGAGGTCCCTAACTCACATTCATACATACTAGGGCCAATTTAGACAGGAGCCATTTAGCATACCAGGATGTCTTTGGAATGTTCGAGGAAACTGGAGTATCTGGAGGAAACACAGGGAGAACATGCAAACTCCAGGCAGGTGGTGCCCTGGTTGGGATTTGAACCAACGACCCTAGTACTGTCAGGCAGAAGGGCTAACCATTTACCCACTGTGCTGCCCATAGTTTACTACTGGTAATGAGATCTTCCAGCACAGTACCAACGGTTAATTATGATATATACATAACTCCCCTGACCAAACATTACATAGAATGAGAAAACTAGGTGTTTTTAAAGTGGACCTTGCTTTGTGCACTGGTGTGCAGTCATGTTGGAACAGGAAGGGGCCATCCCCAAACTGTTCCCACAAAGTTGGGAGCATGAAATTGTCCAAAATGTCTTGGTATGCTGACACCTTAAGAGTTCCCTTCACTGGAACTAGGTGGCCAAGCCCAGCCCCTGAAAAACAGCCCCACACAATAATGCCCCCTCCACCAAACTTTACACTTGGCACTGCTCTCCTGGCAACCACCAGACCCAGCCACGTCCATCGGATTGCCAGACAGAGACGTGTGATTGGTCACTCCAGAGAACACGAGTCCAGTGGCGGCGTGCTTTACACCACAGTATCCGACACTTTGCATTGCACTTGGTGATGTAAGGTTTGGATGCAGCTGCTTGGCCATGGAAGCCCATTTCATGAAGCTCTCTACACAGTGTTATGCTAATCTGACAGTCACATGATTTTTGGAGGTCTTTAGCTATTAAATCTGCAGACAGTTGGTGACTTCTGCGCTTTGAGCGCTTCAGCATGTGCTGACCCCACTTCGTCATTTTACATGGCCTACCACTTTGTGGCTGAGTAGCTGTTCCCAGTTGCTTCCACTTTTGTTATAATACCACTTGACCGTGGAATATTTAGTAGCAAGGAAATTTCACGGAGGCACAGGTGACAACCTATCACAGTACCACGCTTGAATTCACTGAGCTGCTGAGAGCGACCCATTCTATCACAAATGTTTGTAGAAGCAGACTGCATGCCTAGGAGCTTTTTATATACCTGTGGCCATGGAGGGGATTGGAACACCTGAATCCAATGATTTAGAGGGGTGTCCCAATACTTCTGGCAATATAGTGTATGTGGCCTCACAGAAACCGGTTGTTTTCTGTGTATATATGTGAGCACTTTGTGTCCTGTACGAACGATCAGAACCAGGAAGCCTGGTTACTGATTACCTGATTGCTGCAATAACCTCTGATTGGCTCTCAGAGTGATCAATCGCTGTGCAGCCTGCCCCTGTTTTTTTTTTTTTTTTTTTTTTTTTTTTTTTTTTTTTCTCTCCTTGAACGGAGAAAAAGGATATGTTGTAAAAATGGGTAGATCAGGGTTTGATCTGGGGCAGTGTTAGTTAGGGTCAGGGTCAAGGTTTTGGGTCAAAAATCAGGATCAGAATACTTTAGGATAAAAAAAAAAAAAAAAAAAACATTTTTTCAGTGTTTAGTATAGGTAGGATAAAAAAAGAAAAAACCGAATGTGGAAATACTAATGAAACCAAAATGATGCAGCGCTACCCTAATAATAAAATACAATATGGCAAAAACAAAGTGACATAAAAAAAAAAAAAAAATACACACACACACACAGTGGGGATCCAAAGTTTGGGCACCCCAGCTAATAATTTGTATTAATGTGCATAAAGAAGCCAAGGAAAGATGGAAAGATCTCCAAAACGCATCAAATTACAGATTAGACATTCTTATAATATGTCAACAAAAGTTAGCTTTTATTTCCATCATTTACACTTTCAAAATAACAGAAAACAAAAAATGGCGTCTGCAAAAGTTTGGGCACCCTGCAGAATTTATAGCATGCACTGCCCCCTTTGCAAAGCTGAGACCTGCCAGTGTCATGGATTGTTCTCAATCATCGTCTGGGAAGACCAGGTGATGTCAATCTCAAAGGTTTTAAATGCCCAGACTTATTTGACCTTGCCCCAACAATCAGCACCATGGGTTCTTCTAAGCAGTTGTCTAGAAAACTGAAACTGAAAATAGTTGACGCTCACAAAGCTGGAGAAGGCTATAAGAAGATGGCAAAGCGTTTTCAGATGTCAATATCCTCTGTTCGGAATGTAATTAAGAAATGGCAGTCATCGGGAACAGTGGAAGTTAAAGCAAGATCTGGAAGACCAAGAAAAATATCAGACAGAACAGCTCGCAGGATTGTGAGAAAAACAATTCAAAACCCACGTTTGACTGCACGATCCGTCCAGAAAGATCTGGCAGACACTGGAGTTGTGGTACACTATTCCACTATAAAGAGATACTTGTACAAATGGTCTTCATGGAAGAGTCATCAGAAGAAAACCTCTTCTACGTCCTCACCACAAAAATCATTGTTTGAACTTTGCAAATGAACATATAGACAAGCCTGATGCATTTTGGAAACAAGTTCTATGGCCCGATGAGGTTAAAATTGAACTTTTTGGCCGGAATGAGCAAAGGTACGTTTGGAGAAGAAGGGGCAGAGAATTTAATGAAAAGAACCTCTGTCCAACTGTTAAACATGGGGTTGGATCAATCATGCTTTGGGGTTGTGTTGCAGCCAGTGGCACAGGGAACATCTCACGAGTAGAAGGAAAAATGGATTCAATAAAATTTCAGCAAATTTTGGATGGTAACTTGATGCCACCTGTGAAAAAGCTGAAGTTAAAGAGAGGATGGCTTCTACAAATGGATAATGATCCTAAACTCACCTCGAAAATCCACGGGGGATTACATCAAGAGGCGTAAACTGAAGGTTTTGCCATGGCCTTCACAATCTCCTGACCTCAACATAATTGAAAATCTATGGATAGACCTTAAAAGAGCAGTGCGTGACAGACAGCCCCAGAAATCTCAAAGAACGAAGATTTTGTAAGGAACAATGGGCAAAGATACCTCAAACAAGAATTGAAAGACTCTTGGCTGGCTACAAAAAGCGTTTACAAGCTGTGATACTTGCCAAAGGGGGCAGTGCAAGATATTAACTCTGCAGGGTGCCCAAACTTTTGCAGATGCCATTTTTTTGTTTTCTGTTATTTTGAAAGTGTAAATGATGGAAATAAAATCTAACTTTTGTTGACATATTATAAGAATGTCTAATCTGTAATTTGATGCCTTTTGGAGATTTTTCCATCTTTCCTTGGCTTCTTTATGCACATTAATACAAATTTTTAGCTGGGGTGCCCAAACCTTCGATCGTGTGTGTGTGTGTGTGTGTGTGTGTGTGTGTGTGTGTGTGTGTGTGTGTGTGTGTGTGTCAAAAAAAAAAATCAGTGGATTGATCTTCTCTGGGGATCTCAAAATAAAGTGACATAATATTTATATACGTGCCAGTAAATCAGTGGATTGATCCTCTCTGGGATCTCAAGTGAAAAAGTGATCACACCTGGTATAAAAAAAAACCAGGAACCAATACACCCACTATCCAAAATCGGATCATACACAAATAAGCGGGAATCCCTAAATAGGGATCAATAAATTAAATGTAATGTGAAAATGTACATTAAGCCCTTTTTCGAAGTCTTGCTATAATTCCAATGATTTTTTTTTTTTTTTTTTTTTTTTTTTACTTTTTCAGGTATGCTGCCCATATTGAAGAAATAGACTATGAAGAAGGTAAAGTGCTGATCCACTTTAAACGATGGAATCACAGATACGATGAATGGTTTTGCTGGGACAGCCCATACCTCCGTCCCTTAGAGAAAATACAGCTAAGAAGGGAAGGCCTAGTAGAAGAGGATCCCCCTGTGGTAAGTTATATATTTTTTAAATGTGAAGTCTGTTTATATTTGGGGGGGGGGGGGGCAGCCCTGTAGTCTTTGAAACTCCCATTTTTATTACTGTATTGATTAACTATGGTCTCTAAAACCATTGAAATAGGGGTGTGGGCTTCAAGCCCCTCTCCAGTTTGTAGGGATCCTATCAGAAATTACTATGAACTATTTTTTTTTTTTCATTTTAGGTGTTTCGTGTGAATGAACAGGTCTTGGCCTGTTGGTCTGACTGTCGATTTTACCCAGCAAAAATAACATCTGTAAACAAGGATGGTAAGGACAATGTTTTTTTGCTATGGGGGCACTCGGGCAGGGGAGGGAGGCCAGGAGTGCGAGGTAGGTAAGAGTGACGATTTTTTATTTTTTTGTGACTATTTATTTTTTTATGTTATTTTTGTGTGTGTGGGGTGTTTCCTTTTTTTACAATCACTTTAATAATTGAATGTTGTAGGACCTGAGGATACGAATGTATTTGTAAAAATTGCTCCAGGTTATTAAAAACTTGATCTCTTCCACCTTTCCTATTCTGAAGTGTGTTTTTAACACAAAAGTGACTTCTCAACTGAACTTTTATTTTTCTTCTTTGTTTCAGGCACTTACACTGTTAAATTTTTTGATGGTGTTGTTCAAACAGTCAAAAATATCCACGTAAAGGCCTTTTCCAAAGATCAGGTAAGTTACGTACGTGTGTGTGTGTTCCCCCCCCCCCCCCCCCCCCCCCCTTCCTTCCCATTCGCATTTCTAGGAGCAGCACAGTTACTCTTAATTACAATGACACCGTCTATTGTTCTAAAAGATTTGTTTTTTTTTTTTTGTTTGATGTTTTTTACTAGATAATTTTTAAGTGGGACACCGTACAGAGATTGCGTATTCCAATATCGCAAATTTTGCATATGGATCATGCGATTGTCTGACACATAGATATGAAAACAGTAACTTTAGTATAGTGAGGTTGAACTTCCGTGAAATATCAAAAAGGTAGCAGAGAAGAGGGGCTTGGGGAGACTAGGCTGGAAAGAATTGAGAAAGGAATATGGAAGGGATTAGGTACAATAGGTAGTAAAAAGGGAGGGTTTGGCAGCTGAGGATACTTAGCTGCTATTTGTAGAGATGGCTGAGAGTCATAATTCAGGAAGACAGCGATCGAAGTTTGTAGGTAAATGGTATCCTAAGGTTCCTAGACGTTGAGGAACTTGTGTGGAGCCTTGCAGTTTACCTGTTAGTGATGCTAAACACAGGACCCTGCATTCACTATATCTGGTCTTCCACAGAACATGGAAATGCAATTATTTTAGTAAATATAAACTGCTAAATACCTTTTCTCATCAGCAGTTACAGCAGTCTTGTGACTTCAGCAGAGCACTGGTTAAAGCTTGTAGGAGTTTTTTATTTTTCCATTAGGGGGATGTTAAACCTCTGATCCTCTGTCTGGGCAGTGCTGATTGGCCCTGTGCTGATCACATGCATTCTCCCAAGAAAAAAAAAAAAGCTCTAGCAATACACACCAAACTGAGCAGGTGCATGTGACCACGGGTTCAGTCTGTATCAGGTGGTCAATTCAACAAGAAGAGGGGTAGAGGATAAAACAGCCTTTTTACACAATGCAAAGGATTAACCCTTTACGTTCCACAGTGAGTATAACGAGCATGCCTTACTGCATATACAGACTGATTTCACTATTATGGTTTAGTAACACTTTAATATCCATTGTACTCTGGATTTAATCTTACACTTATAGGGTTTCTTAGACCCACTTTTTAGCAATTGTCTGTTTCTCAGCTGTTTAGAATGTGAGGCACGAGTGTAAATTGGTACTTTTGAAATAGCATGAGGTTTCCGACTTAGAAGAGCTGCACATGGCTACATAGTAAGCGATTACTGGAAAAGATCATGTAGGATTCTGTACACTTTGCGATCACAGCCTTTGAATGTCAGGGCATGTCCACCAGGCATGTAAAAATGTCCAAGCAGCTGCGAAAACCATTATTTTACCTGCATTGTGCAATCATTCTGCACAGAGCAGCCCTAAACCTCCTCTACTGGGGTCCCCCACTGCCTCTTGGCTCCTTCTCTTCTCAAACTTCCCCCAATAGCAAACTGCGTGATCCTGAGGTATGCTATGCATCTATAGACACAAGTGGCAGCTCAGCCCTGCTCCCTCCTCACAGGCTTTGACTGATAGCAGCAAGAGCCAATGGCTGCTACTGCTGCCAAGTCTCCTGTGAGAGGAGAGAAGAGCTGCTGCAAACCGCCACAGCGCTGGAATGAGATCGGGCTCAGGTACGTGTTTGAGGGAGCTGGGGGGAGAAGCTTTTGTAAGGTGTGTGGGTTTTGTGTGTCTTTTTTGTTTTTTTACCTTTTCAACCACTTTAAGGTTGTCCCATAATCAAAAGAAGTGTCAGATGATGGGATTGGAAAGGGAGGAGCTACCACGAGAACTGATCTGCAATAAATTATGTATGGACAATGGATTGCAATAAATGGGTTCTAGAGTGACCTAAAGTAGAGTTTCAAAACTGACTGATTTTTTGTATGTTGATTAAGGTGCGCAGCCTCTTTGCATCTGTAAATGTTCAGAACCCCTAAACCTCCATTGGGTCTGGTTTTGCAACATATGTTTATAGTCTGTCTGCTGTTCTGTACAAAATGCATTACTTGGAAGTAATTTTTATTTTTAAATTTAAACTTGAGATTATGGTATAATACTAACAGAGACTAAATTTAAATGAAAAATCCAAATGATGTGATCTATAATATAATAATATAAACCAAACCTTTTCTGTTTGTAATCTGCTGTAAACCATGCGAGGGTGCAGTGACGTTGTTTCATTGATCATGTGATGGTGGTTGAGTCTAGCGATTTGCTTGCAAAACCAGGGCATCAACACAGGGAAACTGGTCACTGGTCATGTTTCCTACTAACTGAACATGCCGGGTACTCAACTGGTTGTATAGGAGCTGTGGAGCAACATGGGTATGGCAACTGTAAGAGAGGTGGGTGTGTGCTGGTTTTTTTTTTTTTTTGTGTTTTAAGAATCTTTTCTGGATAGACATATGGGAGCCATCATTGCTGGTTTTGTTTGTTGGTACCAGTTGAATGGATGGTAGGATGATAACATGGTCCCTATTTTAACCACTTCAAGTTCGGACACTTTCACCCTCCAGCTTTCAGCACTATCACACTTTGAATGAAAATTTTGCGGTCATGCAAAACTGTACCCATATGAATTTTTTAGCATTTTTTGAGACAGAAAAAGCTTTATTTTGGTGGTGTTTATTCACCACTGGGATGTTTATTTTTTTGCTATGTAAATGAAAGGCCAAAAATTTTCACAAGTGTTTTTTTTCTTCTAACATTTTGCAAATAAATAGTATTTCATCATAAATTATGGCAAAACTTAATCAGTTCTCTTTTTAGTAAAAAAAAAAAAAAAAAAAAACCCAAATTTAGTTTATAACCAACAATTTATAATTTTTAAACGTTTTTTTTTTTTTTTTTTTTAAATTTTTTTAGATTTTTGTTTTGTTTTTTTACATACTGTCACCCTAGCAGTAGTGCCACCATGGTGACACTGTACTAGTTGTAGGGGGTGATTAAGATTTTTTTTTTTTTTTTTTTTTTTTTTTTTTTACATTGATTCCTTTTACACCCATAAAGGCTGTAAAAGCAATCATTTCTCCTTCACTCTAGCTGCATTCTTGCAGCTATTGAGAACTACTTTGTGAGCTGTGATTGGTCACAGCTTATCAAATGGTATGAGGCTCTTGTGAAAGCCTTATACATGTGAACTCTGTGATCATTCACAGATTTCACACGTAAGCAATGATGTCACAAGTGACATCTTGCTTACTATTCTGCATGTGATCACTGATTGGCCAATGAGTGATCATATGATCGGGACCTTGCACAGAGGTCCCGTCCGCCGATCGGTGTTCCACTGGGAGCGTGCACAGCTAGAAAATGCGGGTGCCGTTTATGAACGGCAACCCGCCCCTGGAGTGCCACCGTCCTGCTGTGGTTTAACGTGTGTGTGTGCGCCTTTTTAACCACTTCCTATCCGGACACTTTTACCCCCTTCCTGTCCAGGGCAATTTTCAGCTTTCAGCGCTATCACACTTTGAATGACAATTGCGCGGTCATGCAACACTGTACCCATATGAATTTTTTACACTTTTTTTGAGACAGATAAAGCTTTATTTTGGTGGTATTTATTCACCGCTGGGATTTTTATTTTTTGCTATATAAATGAAAATGTCAAAATTTTGAAAAGTGTTTTTCTTATAAAATTTTGCAAATTAAATAATATTTCATCATAAATCTTGGCCAAAATTTATTCCGTTATCTTTTTGGTAAAAAAAAAATACGCCAAATTAGTTTATAACCTAAAATTTATAATTTTTAAACTTTTTTTTTTTTTTTTTTTTTACATTTTTATTTTATTTTTTTATATTTTCTTTTTTTTTTTTTGGGGGGTTTTTTTTTACATACCGTCACCTAGCAGTACAGTGTCAGTACTGTACTGCTTGTGGGGGGTGATGATTTATTTTTTTACACTGATTTGCTTTTACACCCATATAGGATGTAAAAGCAATCATTTCTCTTTCTCTCTGTCTGCATTCTTGCAGCCATTGAGAAATACCGTGTGAGCTGTGATTGGTCACAGCTTGTCACATGGTACAAGGCTGTTGTGAATAGCCTTGTACCATGTGACCTCTGCGATCATTCACAGATTTCACACGTAGTAAGCAATGAATGTCACAAGTGACATCTTGCTTATCACTTTCCATGTGATCACTGATTGGCCAATCAGTGATCACATGATCGGGACCTCGTACAGAGGTCCCGTCCGACGATCGGTGTTTCACTGTGTCCGGAGGACACAGCGGGCATCGGATCGCGGTACTGCGCGCGCTCCCAGGGAGCGCGCACAACTAGAAATGGCGGGTGCCATTTATGAACGGCAACCCACACCTGGAGTGCCACCGCCCTGTCGTTTAAAAACAGCAGGCAGACGGCAAGTGGTTAAGGGCAGCCTTGTCAGTACTGTACAAAGCAACAGTCTTGATTGCCTAATAGTTATTTTGTTTTCCTATCCCGGCATGTTGTTGCTGTGTAGGTGATCACGAAGGAAATGTTGGACAGATTCAGGAATATTAAAGACCCCCACTTTAAGTCCCCAGAATACCCTAAACTGTGACTTATACATGAAGAGAAATACCCTCTTAATGTCTGAGTACATCCCATTTATGTCTGTTAGACATTAGTACACAGGGGTGAGCAGCCTGGCAAGAGATTTTGACCAGCCAGGCTGAAGACTGTGTGGCAGACCGCAAGTGCTGGAGGTGATAAGTGAAGACTTTTGCAGGAAATAGGGAGAACATTGCTAATAAAGGGTGAATTTTCCCAGTGGGGGAAGAGAATTATAAACCAAAAGGGGGGAAGAGAATTATAAACCAAAAGGGATCGGTCTCTTCCCTGGTAAAGTTTTTTTGCTCTGTATACACTTGAAACATCGAATTAATGCATAACTGGTTTAAACTTTTTTTTTTTTTTTTTTTTTTTTTTTTTTTTTTATACTGCTGTTAAAGTTAAACTCCACAAAAATAGCGTCTTGTAAAAGTAAAAACTTTTTTTTTTTTTTTTTTTTTTTTTGTGTGTGTTTTTTGGAGCACTGTGTGACCAACATTGTCCTTTTTCAGGCTAATGTGTCTCGTTCAAAGCCAAAGGAGAAAACGGTAGAAAGCACTTCACCTTCTGATAAGCACAGTGGAAAATTTAGAGAACAGAAAAAATCTTCAGAAAATGCTACTGTAGAGAAAGAGAAACCTCACAGTACAGATAAGAAGCCATCCCAGGCAGATAAAGACAAAAAGCCAATTGCCTCTGAAAAAAACAAGCTCCCTGAGAAAAACTTTGTGAAAAATGAGAAGGAGGACAAAGAAAACATATCGGAGAATGAGAGAGAATCCTCCGCAGAATCCCGTGCAGAGGAAAAGGGCGGACAGAATGACAACCTTAAAGCATCGCATGAAAATGGAGAGCGGAGGAGGAAACGGGAACGTTCATCTTCTCTGCCATCATCTGGTAGGTGACTGAGCCAAGCTGGCTTGGTTTCCTTTACTCCATGTGAATGACCAATATGACTCCCAATGGCTGTACTGGAGATTTTCAGTCTTCTAATCCGTTCCAATTACTGCAAATGGAATATAGATTAGGAAAAGATCTGAAGCATCTGTTTGCAGTGGCATACAGTCATGATTAATGTTTGTTGGATAAGTGAAGAGATATGTTCACAAATTTGTATATTTTGGCCCTCCTTTTTGTTTAACCTCTTAGCTCTGATGCCTCCCGGCCCTTTAAGAGTTTCAGAAGCCGGAAGGCGGGCAGGGTTGTATGGTCATGTGATTTGCAGTCACATGATCGTGAGTCATGGACATATGTGCAGTACATATGCATTTTCTAATTGCACAAAAATATGCGTCCGCTCGGCATCAAGGCGCAGACGCTGAGAGGCCGCATATTTGCGTGTGCTCGGCATCGAGGGGTTAAGCTTCCCTCCAAGGCAAACTGCTAAACACAGATGAAATGCATGAATGTGGCTGTTTTACTGGTTAAATAATTTATATTTCTGTTCATCCATTCCTGAGATGTACAGCAAGCAGCTGTATAAATAATCACATGATCAGGAATCCTACATATCCTTGATGATATCTCTGGATCCGGAAACTACTAGTGGCAGCCAAGTTCTAATTCTGAGCATACACGTGGGAGAACATGGCAATTTGCTTGAAACCTTTTAATTTATTGTGGAGAGGTTGTTAAAGGGTTCACTCCTAAAAATGTTTTTTTTTTTTTTTTGATAGATTCTTCTTCACAGACCCTTCAACCAGTAACATTGGAACTGAGAAGGAGAAAAATCTCTATTGGCTCTGAAATTCGCCCTAAGCGCCCACGCCTGGAGAAAAGTAAACCTACATGTTGTAATTGGTTTTAAAGTCATACATGTTCACTTGCTTGTCCTTCTTTCTTTTTTTTTTTTTTTTCTTGTCACCCGTTTGTGAAAAAAAGGTGGTCTTTATGATGAAACTGATAGTAGAGACCAGTCAGCTTCAGGTTTTTGTGTTTTTGTTTTTTTTTTTTTGTTTTGTTTTGTTTTTTTCTCAAACCTTAATTGAACAATCTGAAGTTAGAAGCTGATTGGCTACCATGCACAGCTGCATATTATGGAAGCCTACGGGGCACAGAAATGCGCTATGCTGCACTGAAAGAAACCCCTTTAAAAAAAAAAAAATCTAAACTACCATGTTGCTTTGCACCATAGAGAATGTGTTTTCCATCCTGCGTTGTGGCCGGGGCGGGCTGACCATTTGGAAACTCGGGCACGGCCCGGGGTCAGTAGGGTGCCCCATGAGATGCCCCTGGTACCTTTTTCATAGGCTTTTTGAGTTTGGGCAAGGACACAGGGGCCCCATGATACCCTATTGCCCGGGGGCCCCATGAGTTGTCAGTCTGCACTTGGTTGTGGCATGACACAGGTAAAATTTCACCAGTGTGAACAGAGACTGAAAGGAAAGTAGGTAAAATTGATATATTTGGTGATGTTAGACTCTTATTTTAGGTATGTAATAGACCCCAAATCCCACAACACAATGCAGAATACAGTGAAGAATTGAAAAGCACCACCTGCATTGCATTGTGGAAGGTGATTGAGACATGCCTGTTCAACTTTCTAAACAGTCAGATGTTGCATAGGACCTTTTGGGTCTCTTGGGAGCATCAAAGTCCTTGTGCTTTTGTAGGTCTTAAATGTTTACACTGTATGTCCCAAGTACAGGTAAAAAAAGTTTTAAAGTAGACTGAAACACTGTTCTGAACATAAGATCTACACTGCACTGTTTTGTCAAAAGGCCTCTTCTGGGCCTAGAGAAAGCAATTCATTACCCATCTTTCAGACTTTTGCTGCTTGATGTGGTAGATGTTTTGTGGCTTTGGCTGTAAAGGTTTATTCTACCGGGGGGGGGGTGGGAACTAACTGCACTTCTAATCCACCAGCAGCCTCTTTGCCAGCATCTTAAGTTTTTAAATTGCTTAGTAAGTTGAAATGTATAGGACCATGCACCCACCATAGTACCACCTTCCCATCATGCATCCAGCCTTTGCTTGATTTTGGGGAAGAACATGAATTTCCATACTTCACTAATGTCAAGTACTTCGAAGTATAGGAAACAAGTATAGCTCCTGTAAAGTTAGCTTTTCCCAGTATGGGCCAGGATCGCTTTTAAGATTTGTTTTTTTTTTTTTTTTTTCCCCCCACACCCTCTTGTAAAATGTAATTTTTGTTGTACAGCTAAAGGTTTTGCAGTCATCAGGATGTGATTTTTGATGTTGAGTAAATACTTGAATCTGACGTGGAGAGTTTGCAAAATTCCAATTTGTATATCAGTCTGCCTATTGACTTTGGTTGTCATTTGCAGAAAAAAATGTTACTGTAGATGCACCTTCTTCAAAAAAGGAAAATGGGTCTGACAAGGATACACCGCCTCCTGAAGAGGATGCGGAGGAGGAGGAAAAGGATAGCAAGCCCTCTCCAAGTGAGAATCCAGAGGACCATTGTTCTGTGGAGGTTGCCACGTCTGTTGTCGAGACAGAATCGTCACAGGAGGATGCTTCACCAGAGGAACAAGAAGGTAAACCGTATGTTCATCTAACAGTTAGAAGAGACTTAATCTTTGTAGTAGTTACACTTTATTTTTTATGTTTATAGTGAAGACAGAGGAGTATGCACCAGCCGAGCCTGAAACTCCTGAAGTGAAGGAGCTACCATCAGTAGAAGATTCCATTGAGCCTATTGAAACCAATGTTGTGAATGGTGTTTTTTAGAGGTCAGACCTGAGGATGAAGAGAAAGACCTTCCTGTACAGAATGATGCTGAAGAGGTCCCTGCTGTCACCACAGTATCAGGTGAATACTCCTTACACAGATGTCATTTTGGTTTCCCTACAAAAAATGTTTTAACCCTTGTAAGTATTTTTCTTTTCAAACTAAATGCCTGTATTTGGTTGTATATTTGGTTGTAGAGGGATGACTGTGTTTGTGTGCCCTGCTTTATCTTGTGTTCCTGGTAATAGGCTAGTGTCCTGTGAAGTATCCTTGGTGGCTTTTGTGGTGTCAGGAGTGTTGTAGATCATGCAGATTCAGCCATATTACCTCACGTATTTGAGGATACACCAGTGTTCTTGGCTTTTGGAAAGTTATCAAGATCAAAATATTGGAGCAGCCAGTGCTGGTTCTGTTTTTGCGGCGCAAGCTCTATAGAACAAGCTGGTTCATGTGTTATCTGGACAAGATCCAAAATCCTTTTTTTTTTTTTTTTTTTTTTTTTTTTTTTTAAAGCAGGGTTTTTCAAACTTATTTTTCAGGCCCCACCAACAGTTTGATTTTGCTGCTAGCCTCCCGTACATAGAGGGAGTTTTAGTGTGTCGGTAGTATGTGTTAATGTGAGAATGTAAACTGTTAGAGCTTTAAGATGGCTTTGAAAAACCCTGGATCAGAGAAAATGATCACTTTGCCTGTTCAGGCGAAAGTGACAGGTTATTTGATATGATTCCCCACCCTCCTTTTCACTGAACTTTTTCTTCCCCATGTTCCCTCACTACTGTCTATTGAAAACCTCAAATACTAGATAAATCCGGGTATAGGGGAGCTTGTGACCATCTCTTCTTCCTCTCAGGATCCAGTCTTTGGGAGTGAGCAATGTTCCGCAAGGGAGAATGGTCATTACTCTGTTAAAAATGTAACTGCACTTTAGTTGGGGGAAACATTATTATAACCACCTGAGCCATTCTTGGTGTTCTGAGGGAAGCTGCAGTTTCGGCATTTCTATAATGGACAAACCTTTAAAGTGATAGTAAAGGCATTTATTTTTCTTTTAAATAACAAATATGTTATACTTGCCTGCTCTGTGCAGTGATTTTGCACAGTGCAGCCTTGATCCTCCTCAGATCCCCCTCTGTCGCTCCTGGCCCCTCTCTCCTGCTTGGTGCCTCCAGCGTAAGCAGCTTGCTATTCGGGGCCCCAAACAGGCTCGCTCCCGAGCTGCTGCTCTGCATGTCCATTCACAAACAGAGCCATAGCTTGGTTCCACCCCTCTCTCTCCTTATTGGCTCACTGGCTGTGATTAACAGCAGTGGGTGCCAGTGGCTCCCACTGCTGTCTCAGCCATTGAGGAAGGAGAGTCTCCGGAGAGCTGAGAGGCTTGTGTACATCGCTGGATCGTGATGAGGCTCAGGTAAGTATTGGGTGGGGGAGGGGGTGTGCTGAACACAAAATGTTGTTTACCTTTATGCATAGACTGCATGAAAGTAAAAAAAAAAAACCTTGTGCATTAAAGCGCAGCTCCACCCAAAAGGGGAAGTTCCACTTTAAGGACTGCTCCCCCGCTCCCCATTAAGGATTAGCACTTTTTGGGGAGCAGGTACCTGAATTTGACAGGTGTCCGATTAGGAGGGTGTCCTCCCTCCCTTCCCTGTAGTCTTTTGGGACACATGACAGGTCCCAGAAGACTATAGTGCAGTGCTACTCGCGCATGTGCAGTGGGTACCCGGCTGTGAAGCCGCAAGCTGTCACAGCCGGGTGCCCACACTGAAGATGCTGGTCTCCTGGAATACAGGACGGCCTGTGAAACGGCCTGCAGGGGACACACCATGGGACCGAGGGACAGGTAAGTGGCTGTTTTTTAAATGTCAGCAGCTACAATTTTTGTAGCTGCTGACTTTTATTTTTTGATAGGTTGAGTGGAACTCCACTTTAAGCATTATCTTAGTGTAGGCTTCTGAGATAATTAGCGAGCCTTGGAAAAAAGTAGGAAATTACTTTTTTTTTTTTTGGTGTGTGTTGTAAACTATAATGTGCAGAACTCCTCCTGGTTGCCATTTTGCATTGAGTTCTTTGACAGTTAAGGTTAAGGCAAATTGAAACAGGAAATTTATGATAATTCATTAAATTTTTAGTTTTTTTTTTTTTTTTTTTTTGCATATAAAATTGCTATAAAACCCATTTTGTAATGCAACATTATTATAAATTTCCTGTTTCAATGTAAGTTCTTGCATACACCAACATGCGTGAATGTTATTCTAGATTCTCACTGTTCTTTGTACATTACAGCATGTGTGATCACACATACGTGTAGGTGTGAATAGGCCTATATTGCTTCCATTCTTTACTTTTGTATATTAAACTGCATATGAACCAGCCCTCTAACAAAAAATGAAATTTTATTCTTGAATTGCATTTTTCCTGCATGAAAATGGATAGGTGTGAATGGGTCCTCAAGCTTGGCACTACCTCAGGGTGGCAGAGCAGTGTGGGGATAAATTATATCAGTGGGCGATGTGAAAAGGCAAAGTGACAGGTTTTTTTTTTTAAAGCAAGTGGATTCTTTTTGTCCTGCCATACTGTAGTGAAAAATCATTTTATGCTGAAAAAGTTTGCATAAAATTGTATATCCTGGTTTATAAATGGCTTCATGCCAAATGACTTTAAGCGGAGGGGACATGTACACCGATCAGGGCACTGATGATCAGTGTGCCCTGATGATCAGTGTAGCCCCAGCAGTGCCAGCTGTCAGTGTCCATCAGTGCCACATCAATGCCACATATCAGTGCCTACCAGTGCACATCAATGCCACATATCAGTGCCCATCTGAGCTGTCTTTCAGTGCCTCCTATCAATGCCAATCAGTGCTGCCTTTCAGTGCCCATCAGTGATGTCTGTCAATGCCTATCAGTGCCACCTATCAGTGCCAGTCAGTGCTGCCTATCAGTGCTGCCTTTCAGTGATGCCTGTCAATGCCCATCAGTGCCACCTACCAGTGCCTCCTCATCAGTGCCACCTATTTCATATGGGTACAGTGTTGCATGACCACGCAATTGTCATTCAAAGTGTGACAGCACTGAAAGCTGAAAATTGGCCTGGGGGGGGGGGGGGGAGTGGGTATAAGTGCCCTGTAGGCTAGGGGTTAAATGGTGTTGCCTCAGAAGGGGGGTAGTCTTATACGACGAGTATAGCCCAAAACCTATGTTTTCTGGAAAATTAGGGGGTCGTCTTATACACCCAGTCGCCTTATACGCCAGACAATACGGTAATAACTGATGAATCAACCATTAAAACAGAACACTCAGTTTTTATTTATATAAACTTAAAAAAGACATGACACATTGAAATACATGAGTTATGGCAGTGATTGTCAAAGGATATAAGACTTAATACTGAAAAGGTGCAACACTTGCATGACTGACCTTTTCAGTATCATTACATCCTTTGACAATCACTGCCATAATTCATGTATTTCAATGTGTCATGTCTTTTTTAAGTTTGTATAAATAAAAACTGAGTTATGTTTCAATGGTTGATTCATCAGTAATTCACAATTTGTTCCTCCAAAGTCCCACTAAGTAGGAGGACCCCTTCTTTCCCATATTTTTCCAGGGATGTTGGCACCTCTTGTACTGTATCCCTTCCCCTCGATATAAATGAAGTAGACATTGCAACTCCGGTGACCTTCACTTGCTTCAGGGTCCTGCACTGATCTTCACTTGCTTCAGGGTCCTGCACTGATCTTCACTTGCTTCAGGGTCCTGCACTGATCTTCACTTGCTTCAGGGTCCTGCACCGATCTTCACTTGCTTCAGGGTCCTGCACCGATCTTCACTTTGCTTCAGGGTCCTGCACCGATCTTCACTTGCTTCCGGGTCCTGCACCGATCTTCACTTGCTTCCGGGTCCTGCACCGATCTTCACTTGCTTCCGGGTCCTGCACCGATCTTCACTTGCTTCCGGGTTCCTGCACCGATCTTCACTTGCTTGCTTCCGGTCCTGCACCGATCTTCACTTGCTTCTGGGTCCTGCACTGAGTGGCGGCACTCCTGCTTGCTCAACACAGGTTAGTCCCCCAGCACAGGTGCCATCCTGTGTTCACAGTGCATCAAGCCAGCGGCTAAGCACAGGACCTGGAAGCAAGTGGAGAGATTTCTGGAGTAGCAGTATCTATATCAAGGATTTCCTGTTTCCATGGACATTAGTCAGGTATGGTATGTACATAGTTAAATCAGTCCAAGCTGTACCAATGTAACTGCTTAAAGAATAACTCCAGGCATGGCTATATTAAACAGAGTACTTTGTAGGAGAGTACTGGAAGGCAATATAAATGCAACTCAGGTACGTTACATTAGCTGTATTTAAAAATTATATATATTTTAAATTTTTTGTAGGAAAGACCTAACTGAATTTCATGGTTGTCTGGTTCTCTGGCCTTTGTATAGCTGCCTGGAATGCAGCCTTACTCTGACGCACCTTTCTGCTCCCTATACCCCTGACATTTTTGTATTTGGCTTATGTGCCACAGGTGTTTCCAAAGGCTGTATGCGACTGTCCCACCTAGTACATGTAGGTTCATACTCCAGGCTCTCCTCAAACCTGTTCATGTGGGTTTTTTGTCGGGTGTGCTTTACAGGAGTCTGCCTGTCGTGTGCCTGCAGTACAACACTATCTGGAAGACAGTTAGAATATACTGTATGCATCCTCTGCCACATTTGTATCCGTATTTATGAATTTTGCTAGTAGTTTGTAAACAGTTCTACATTTACTTTCCCCAACACTCAAAGCTGCCAAAAGTATATAAAAATTAGAAATTGTGAATGGTTTTGGTTAAATAAGGCAACGTAACCAAAGCACATCCAAATGTCCCCTACTTTTCTCTCTGTGGCCAAGGCCTTGTGTGTTTTTTATACCAAGTGTGTTGTGTGTGTGTGTGTGTGTGTGTGTGTGTGTGTGTGTGTGTGTGTGTGTGTTTTTTTTACCTTTTTGTTCTATGGAAATCTGGGTCCTCTGTGTAATGTGGAGGGCTGAATTCCACAGAGCAGCGAAGTCTGCTGCTGGCATCTACTGCACTAGTCATTGTGGAAG